ATGTCATGTCACCAGTATTGACATTTCCACCGATGCTACCCCATCCAAAACCATAGCCAGTCCCTTTTCCACTGGTTACCTTATTACCAACCCACAGAGTCTTCACAATTCCAACACCCCCAGATACCTGTAAAGCCCCTGTTGTTGCAGACGAGGAGTCTGTAGCAGTCAACACCTTAACTTCATTCGAAATGGATACAATCCGTAGACCTAATCCTAGACCAGATTTCCCTTGGATGTTCATGTCTCCACAATCGTTACGAAGAGTAGCATTATTCAATGAGCTGTCTGTAGTCCTTGTAGAAGAGTTGAGAAAGAGTAAGGCTCCATTTCCGCTATCATTGGCACAACCAACGGCTGAATAGGCATTAACGCCAGATGAAACGTTTCTAGATTGAACCCAGTTTGGAGCATCCACAGAGGTGTTACTAATCACATTTCCTCCCGCATATAAGTCCTTTGCAACACCTAAACCCCCACTTACTAGAAGTGCTCCTGTAGTCGAACTAGTCGATTGTGAGGTATTTGTTATCTGTGTAATACTGGTATTAGAAATCTTGAACACATAGCCAATGTTGTTGTATGAACAGTTGATTCCGAACCCACCTGCAGGGTTAGAGCCATCGGCTGTTGAACCTGCTACTCGAAGACCCCAAGTGATATTTGACGAAGTGTTGACCAGGGACATATATGTTGGATTGGCACCATTAATTACTGTTACATAACCACTAGCCGTAACTGAGGCAAGACTCAAATTAGTTGATGTAGTTATGTTGTTCTGTTTACCAGAAAGGAGTGTATTCACGTTAGCGTTGGTTGCTATATCGAGGATGCCTTTCACTTGAGTGGAAGTAACATTCTTGAATGTAGTTCCAGCAGAAGAATATAGCCAACTATCAGGTTGTACCATCATACTATAGATGGAGTTGGTAGCACTGTTCATTGGTTGCTTCGATGCGAGTGCAGTAGTAATGGTATTATTGTTATTATTAACTGTGGTTGTCAATGAAGACAAGGATTGACTTATTGGAGCGGTGTTATCAATTACAAATTTCTGAGTTGTGACTTCAATACCTCCGATGTAAGCCATTCCACCAATATATGCATCAGTTGATACTCCTAGGCCACCACTCATGACCATATTACCTGATGGGTCAATTCGGAAAACATACCCCTTATCTTGAAGGGAAGAGTAGAAACTGAGTGTTCCAGTTAGCAGATTTGAGTTTGCAGAACCAGCCACATGGATATTCCATGTCTGTGCAGCACTAGTGTTTCCTAGTGTGATTGCTGAAGCATTGGTGTTTGAATTTTGTACCGTTAAACTGCTCAGGTTAAGCGAACTCGCAGGTGTAATCAGGGGCTGATATCCTGTTGTTACAAAGGATTCCGTGGCTACTTTCACTCCGTTTGTGTATACATCCCCTCCAACGTACAGTGATTTAGCAATGCCTACACCGCCTTTCACCTGGAACGTGCCGGATGTTGAGGAAGTAGCATCAGTTGTCATATTGATAATAACATTCCCAGATGAGAGAATATCCAAATTCGAAGCCGTTGCATTATTTGTACCGATATGCAAATTACTAGCAGAGGCTCGAATGATGTAGTCTCCAGCAACTGAATTTGTTACCCATTGACCTGCTGTTGCTGTATATCCGAATGATGCATTGTTTATTTGAAAGGTGGCAGCCGCTGTAGTAGATATAATAGCATACTTTCCCATGTACACTGTGCCTTGCACTCCTAATCCACCGGGAATTTGTAATGCACCTGTTGTTGTAGAGGATGCATCATTTGTAGCATCCAGCGTAACGATTCCAGTGTTTGCCTGTATTGTCAGTCCTCTAGCGGTCTGTGCTTGAAGCCGAAGGTTACCAATATCGTTTCTCAACGTCATCGCACCTTGGCCTCCGTCCACACTCCGGTTGTTTCCGTTCAAAAACATCACTCCAGAACCTCCTGAGGCCATAAGATAAAGAATACTGCATCCGTTCATCCCTGTACTTGAATTGCTTATGGTAAGAGAACATAAACCATTTACAGAAGAGGCTCCGACAGTTAGGTCACTACCAACAAGGCATGAACCATTTGTATCCACTCTTAGACCCAGAGATACTGCACTAGATGTCCGTCCGTAAATGTAAATCGGCTTGTCTTGTGCGCCCAGCCAAGTAGCAGTGTCACTAGCATATCCTAAAAAGCCCGTGCCATCAAGACCCAGCCAAGACGATTTTGTTCTGTCAAAACTGTTCGAAATAAAGACAGACGAGCCTCCTGCTACAGAGGCTGCTGATTGCAGACGTGAGCCTGTTATTACTTTACCCGAGATATTGCCTCTGAATGTCACATTATTCAAAGTCAAATTAGTTATTTGGCCTCCCACCCAAGGCTTAATAACCTCGGTATCATAATCCCTTAACATCGAGAGGTTGATTGCGGCTTGGGGGTATTCGTATTTGATGCCTCGATAACATGAAGGCATATCAAACAAGAGACGAGTACAACCTCCTATTGGATCAGAAGCAATTGCGACACTGCTCCCAGGTTCAAGTGGTGGCATGAAGGTAACAGGGTCTATTGGTTCATAAACGGGGTTTCCATCGCCATTGAGTATAGGTTGGCCTTCCGCATCTCATTGAACCTTACGTTTGCGTGACCCTCCGAAAATCATAGCCCATGGCAATGTACTTGTAATAGGAAGAATTGAATTGACAGCCATGGGAACTGTAAGAGGAGGGTTAACCATTGCAGGAAACGGAATTGTGGTCAACGGAGTCACTCCGGACAAAACAATTACGTTACCACCTGGGACATCAGTTTTCAAGATTTCAGCCGTATCACTCTGTTCAGTGGTATCCGTGTCTTTTTGCTTCGATAAAGGTGTAGGGTCGATTGGAGTAAAGTTGTAGAGAGGGTAACTTCCTGTGATAATCAAGTTTGGACTGTTACTTACGAATTGTGGCAGAATCATGTTATACTGAATGGTATTACCCAGAATGACCACACTTCCATATGAATTGGTCGAGCCAATGTAATTGCCTTTCAGAGTATCTCCCACTCGAAGAACTGTATCGCTTCCTGTAAGAGAACATGAAATCAAATCTCCCGAAACTTGCACGCCATTGATACCTCTTAGGTTCATTGACAAAATCGCACCATTTTTTTGCAGTCCAATTCCCGCAGCGATGTTTGAACTCAGAACACCATTGTTTAGAGTAAGATCGGGTGACTGTGCTGTTAAACTCAGTCTGAAGTCATTCCCCATCCTGGTTACCCCTTGGGAGGCTGTAAAGGTATCCCATATGGTACCCCTGTTGACCATAGCCAAACCGCTGTTAGCATCAACTTTTAGATCGAGTTGAAGGTCATTCTGTACTCTCTCGATACCATTGCTGCAAGTCAGTACGTCTTTAATGGTATCTGCTTTGACCATTTGGAGACAACTGCCAGCCTCACATTTGAGAGACAGCATAATATCGTTTGTAGTGCCAGGACGAACCGCCACTCCATTAAAGTCCTGAAAAATGTACCCACCTGTGAGTGCATTTCCAACAATTCTAATAGTTTGATTATCCACAAGCACACCGATTTCACATCTTCCACTAAACTCGGGTCCCACTGCAATCGCTCCAGTTTGAGAGCCTTGATAAAATTGCGAAAGATAGTCTTTACTTACAGCATATGAGCCACCTCCAATCGCAGGCAATGTTCCGCTTAACTTTACATTGGGTACACGCAACTCCTGAAGCGTGGACGTATAGGTGAATGAAGAACTTCCCGAGTAGCCATAAGTAAGGTTCCCATACATGATTTGTTCATATCCGGGTGATTTCAGGGACAATCTCGAACCTGCTTGGCTGAATGTGGAACTATCTACCATTAGGCGAATGGCTGTGGTGTCTACTTCTCCTAACACATCAGTCATTTCGGTCAAACTATCAAATCCAAAGTCGAGCCATGAAGACCCGATGTCTAACAGCGTATCTGCACCTGAACTCGATTTCAGAGCGCCAAATGCTTTTAGTACCGACTGAATGTTAGTTTCCAATTCATCATTATTGTTCACCTTTAGACTTTTATGAAGTTTGATTCCAAGGCTGCTCTGGTCATGATACAACGGCTTTTTCAGCATCTCAGGATCAGGAAAATTAACCGATAGACTGTTTTCAGTTATAAGCAAACTATCATCTGCTTGTAAACCAACCATACGTGATTCGGCATCCCTGTAGAGTGGAAAATCATAGTTATAAGGTATGACTGTTAATTTTTCATCCTCCACTTTTAGTTCATCATCATCAATGTTTAGGCTTACTGTTCATGAGTCGGCAGCCCTATAGAGAGGTTGCAGGAGTGTCTCAGGTTTAACTGATAAGCCGTCTTCTGTTATAAGCAGAGTATCGTCTGTTACAAGCCTGACATCATGTTCATCATTAATTAATGGAAAAACATAAGTTGTCTCGGCAAGAGAGATGGTATATTTACCTTTATTTTTCTGAATGGAGAGACTTGGTGTTTGACTATCCAAATCGAGTATAGTGACTATACCATCTTTATTCCGTAGGCTCTCTCCATAGATAGAATTGGCTTTAACTTTTCCGGACTTGAAATTATCTAGGACTTCTAAATTTCTTCGAACCATATATGTGCCTTGAATGCTATTAGGCAAAGGCATCTTCTTATTCCTTTATATCATCATAGCTTAGAAAATGAATTGCATGCCGACATTTGGTTTATACAATCTCATCAAAGATCGATGGTGGTTTGGTACGCATGATATGCCTTCTGGCATATGGCTCTGCACCGGGATATGGTTCTGCGTGCCTGACATACTCATGTCCATTTTTAAAATGGACTACATCTGCGCGAGTGGGATGAACAGGGCGAGTTCTCTTTCTCTTGACGACTTTAACAACCTCATAATCATCATCATCTGAAGAATCATCTGACGATTCCTCAACTTCAATCTGCCGTCTTTTTTTCGGTATTGGCATTTTAATTCACTTTGCTTTAGTCTTGTGACTTTGTAAGTCCTTCATATAGTTGCGGAGCCTAGCCTCGACACATTTTTCCTGTTCCACTCTAAGGGCTTCGGCCTTAGCAAGAATCCGTTCATCCTCTTTTCTCTTCTTTTCTAGTTCTCTCTCTTCTTTTCTCTTGGCGGCAAGTTCTCGTCTAACCTGAAGAGCGTTTTCTCGGCTTTTTTCTAAATGTGCTTGCTGCTTCTCTGATGCAGTACGTTTTTTGGGAGTGCTGGTATTGACCTCTCCGGTATCCCTGCCTGGATCGGCATCCCTGCCTGGATCGGCATCCCTGCTGGGATTGGCCACTCCGCGCCCGGCATGCCTGCCGGCATTTGGCTCTGCGCCGGCATATTTGTTTACAAGTTCTTGAACATAGTCTTGATGATCATCATCATTAGTTTCATCATCATCATTCAAACTTTGTTCTTCATCTGTAATGTCCTGGTCAGGTATGCCTGCCGGCATTTGGCTCTGCGCCGGCATAGATTCCTTTTTTTTAGGCATTTTAGCTTTGTAAATAGAAAATAAAAAAACATACTTCAGCACTATAGTTTGATATTCGTCCAAGTTGACAATGGTCGATTATTATTGTCTTTAAATGCTTTGACCATTTGTCTAAATTCAGGCAATCTCTCGGGCATATTTTTGCCCAGTATAACAGGATGCATGAAACCGCCTCGAGGGTTCCTCTTTAGAATACTTTTGAATAGTTGTTTAGGCATGGGCTGCCTTGTTCTAGATGGAGACGGAGATGGTGAGTCATCCATCGGTGCTAGTGATGGTAAGCCTGAGGTTGGTGATAAAGGTAATGGTGTCATTATACCCCTTTCAAGATCTGAATCAGATTGCCTATGTAGAACCCATTGTGTAGGTGGCGTGCCTCCTTCCTCATAAAAGATGTTCTCAGACAACGCAGGAGTAGGTCGTCCACGTTGTACATTGAATGAGTCTCTTGAGGCAGAAATGTCTGTGCCCCGCATTCCTAAGCCAGTTGTTTCTAGCAAACTCTCCCCAGGATTGTGAATACCATGTGAAGAGCGGAAATGCTGTATGTTAGCAATGTTCTCACGTCTTTCTCTTTCTATAGCCCTCTCCTTTTGTATAAAATTCTCATAACCTTCGCGCATTTGTCTGATGCGTGCATTCAAATCTATGTCATTTTTGTATCCATCGCGACCATGGATTATCGGATACCGAGTCTCTTGATTAGATTTGGGACGGTAATCAACTGAACGCCCGGAAGCCATCCATTTGAGTTCTGCATCTGAAACAACTGGCCGAAAGGTATCAGGATCCAAAGACCGGCCATTAGCATCCCTTAGTTCACCGAAGCGTCTATTATCAATTTCGATATAGTATGGGTCACTGACGAATTGTGTATCTACCTTACCAAATGAACGATACTTGTTTAACAATGGGTGCTTGAAATAGCCTGTAGGTAACTTTGAATCAACCCATTTTCTCTTCTCTCTCCAAAACACATCATGTTCGACCTGCTCAGAGTTGTAATCAGTTACATCAGTGTTGCCCTTCTGTAAAAGTTTTACCAATTTGGCAACAGACATATCATTCTATTCTGTATTTTACTATATTAGTATTATTAAAAAAAAGAAGCATGTCATCTCAACAAAGGAAGGAACGGATACAAGAGCGTTTGAGGAGGAAGTTGGCTGAAAGGCATGCTGGGCGTGGAGGAACCATCAAAGATGATTCCGACTCGTTCATTTGCTCTGCGAATGAACTCGGAGTGCCAATGCCGGGCTCAGGCATGACGAATATATACAGTAAGGAAACCATCATTCCAGACGCTGATGCGAGTGGTATTAACTGGAATGAGTATGTTATTATTCCTGAAAATCCTCTTTACATTGATGACTTGAATGAAATCATTTGACACTAAAAGTAGCATTAATACCCCGCTAATTCGACAGGAAGCGATTTCCTTAGCACTGAATCAAAATTCTGTTGGATCTCATAGGATCGCCCTAGACCTTTATGGAGATCATCGATATAACCTCGTCCTCATGAAATTGTCTCTCTTACTTTGATGGGTACAGATTCGTCATGGACTAGAGATTGATGAACCTTTCCATAAATATCTCTGGCTTGGCCGGCATGGTTTACAAATTGTCGAATTCCATTGTTTACTTTGCTGTAACTGTTCAACGCTCAAAGACCAAAGTTCTTTGCACTTGAGAGAAAGTTTGCAAATTTTTGACGCAACATCTTTTACATGTTCCAAATGAAAAAAAATTAATCATCTGCAAAGCCGGAGGAATGACAATCGAGAACCAAAGTGAACCCTTTGCCCTGTAAATCAATCAGCAATAGCATTTCAGCATCAAGCAAATGGATGTTGATGGTACTAACAAGGCCTGACTCCGTGTCAATGAAGTTGGTATTGAAATAATTCTGCGCACACAGCACAGTGTCTATTTCCTGGCTTATTGGAATCGATGCTAGAATATTTAGATCATCGGCTCCAGCAACTACAACATCGTTAGAACATAAGTTTGACGATGAGACGAGCACCATCTTAACACCTGTCAAATCGATTGGATTCGCAAAAGTTATTGATCTCCCAGGGTCAGATTGCTGCATCTGAACTAATCCGAGCAGTTTGCTTGCTGTGGTTTGAGGGTAGAGAACTTTGAATGGTGTTGTACCTGCGGTCACTGTGATTTGATTGTTTATATGATTGTATTCTACAGTGTATGCTTGTGTCCCAGTCGAGTTAAATCCAGCAGTCAGTGCATCGACCAAATCATCAGGGCTATATGTCCCAGGAGGAATAGCAAAAGTCTTTGCAGCATTACCCATCCCAGCATCATAAAAGGAGACAATATTGTTCTTGTCATTTACTATGTCCCACGAAAGGGGCAAAATGATCGAATTGTATCGAATTTTATCACATGCGATGGGTTCGGCTAGAGTCCATTTAGGTTCATTCTTGTTTCCGTTCATCGCCCTGTTGCTATCAAGAATCAACTTTTTCATTTCTTCTAATGTATTATAGATACAGAGAGCAAATAAAAACAAGTGCAATGAAGCCAATCACAATTGCCCCTTTATCTAGTCAAGTCTCTGGACACATAAAGGATAATACAGATCCACGGCTTCCTAGAAAGTATGGTTTTATTGTATACAATGGCGCTCGATTTTGTGGGAAGATGCTAAACATTGCAGTGATATGCAAATTGTTCTTGAAGAAGCAGTATTCGAATATCATAATATTCACACCAAATCCGCATGACACCAATTGGAACCCCTTAAGAACGAGCAAAAAGGTTCATATATTTGACAAGATTTCCAATGAAATACTCAATTTTATACACGAAGAGCAACTTTATGAATTTGTTCGAAGCGGAAGAAAACGAGATTTACTTCTTATCATAGATGACTACAATATGCAGAAAGGACATAAGAAGTCACTCGATGAGTTGGCTACACGGGGGAGACACACTGGGATAACCTGCATCCTGTCGAGTCAATATTTTTATCACAATAGTCCCGCTGTACGTAGCAACGCAACAAACTGGATCATTTTTAGACCTTTGAAAAGCGAACTCAAGAAAATGGTCGAAGCAGGCTTATCTCTCGCTTTACCTGAAGATGTATTTGAAAAGTTCGTTATGGATAATACAAAGAAACCATTTCATTTTGTGCACATAAATCTACAAAGTTCAAAATGACCATTTAGAGTTGGTTTTTCATAACGACTTTTTTTTTTCTAGATGTGTAAAGTAAACCATGTCATCCGATATTGAAGTAACAGAGGTCAGACGTGTCCCATCGGCATTTACTTATAAAAGATCTGCAAAAAATGGAGTCATTCTAAACTTCCAGCCATCTAGTCAGGTTCGCTTCGAGCCAACAAACGGAAGTGGAGATTGCCGACCAGGTGGGAAACTAGTTTTTAAAATAGCAGACGACAAGCGCTTCTGGCTCGTTAATGAAATGCTGCACAAATATCGTGTAGTCGGCTTAAAAGCAGATGGTTCGCCAGCAGTAGCAGTTGATGCTAACTACAGGCTCTGTCAATCTGGAACTGATGCTGTATGGAAACGTCAATCTCTCCTGATCAATGGAAGGATCATTGAAGATCTCAATGACTATAATTTGTTCACTGCGCATGAAAACGCCTTAACATCATGGGAAACCAAACAACATCTAGGCCAATGCGAGTATTATTCGAGTGATGCGGCTAATGACTGTTCAGCAGTGGTCGCTCAAAACAACGCATACACATTACCGGGTCATCGCTATCATTCTTTCAAAATGAAGTGGCTTTTCCTCTCTGTCTTGTGAAAGGAGGAGTAAGCCTGGAGATGACCGCCGAGACAGACCTTTCCAAAATATTCCCAAAATCCACAGGGATTATGTCCTTCAAAGTAGAACAAAATGAATTAATATGTCAGTTTGCTGAACTGGTCAAGGCTTACTATGATAAAGTGCTTGCTTTGATGCAGGCTGAGGATCCTACACCCCTGACTATCCCCATGCAAATAGTATGGAGTCAAGAATTTGCAGGACAAGATAGTCGAGTACAACAACTCTCGCTTGTAACAGGCGAACAGTCCTCTGTTTCATCATTGATGTTGGTGACAACTGACAATGTTCTAACAGATGTAGACAAACTGAATTATTCAGACGATGCAGGTATTAGAACAGTGTCTATCCAAGTAGGAACGGAACGGTTCCCACAAGGGAAGGCTATTGGACATGGCTCTGAGAAAACAGGATCTGTCTCTACTATTGACCCTGAGATGTATGCATTGAGTCAACATAACAAGGATTTCAATGATGTGAAGTTTGCGCCCACTATGTCTGATTTGAAAGGATGGACTCTAGGAGACAAAAAGATAAAACATTGGTCATTGTAACGACGAGGACGTCTTCGAGAGATCGCGAGTAAGCCCAAATCGGACGCGGGAAGCACGAATCGCGTGACCAACTCCACCGATTGGGTTACCGCGACCGAAAAAACCGGTTCGGAGAATGGCAATTGGCGCATTAGATTTCAGCGTA